CACAGAAACCCCCCTCCGGGGGGGGGGGGCAGAAGCAGGCCAGAGTCTCCTGGGGAGGGAAAGGCAGGGGACGGCCAACCTCTCCCCCCGAGGCCCTCGGGACCAGCCTCACGATTCACCCTCCCCGGGGCCACAGGGAGCCGCATCAGGGAATGGCTGGGCCGAGACCTGGCTGGAGGCTGCCGTGAGAGGCCGTCTGCTGACTGCAGCACCATGCAGGGGACTGGGGGGGGGGGCTCAGGCCCCGGCCCCAAAGGATATTTTGGGGGTTTTTTCTCAAAGGATATTTTGGTGAAGAAGTTATCTAAGTTCTTGATGTGATGCCAGGAATCTGGGAAGCGAGAAGGGAAGAGAAAGGGCAGTTTGACCCCGGTGCCTTGGCCCTCCCTGCCCGGCCCGCTCCCCAGGGCCTCACTCCGGGGGTGGGTGGGTGTACCTTTCAGGCCCTCAGTGACGTGCACCAAGAGCTGCTGCTCCTCCTCCTCGGGGGGAGAGTCCTCCGCATGGTCTGGCAGGCGATGGTAGTCACCATAGTGCTCCTGGCTGACAGCCATGGGCGGCACTGGGCGGCAGCAGCTCCCCACACGGACCTGGCCAGAAGGGGAGACAGAAACAGATCAGTCCCAGTGGGCCCGTGAGGTCTCTGTCCCAAGACTCCGCACGGCCTGGGGTGGGTGGGGCAGTGCTCACAAGAGCCATCCCCCTTCCCAGACAGCCGCTGATGAAGAGCCCCCCCCCCCCCCGGCCTGGCCCTTGGGCATGCCCCCGCTCAGAACACAAGGCATCGCACCCGAGATCCCCCGGGGGCCCCTGGCCCTGCGGCTACTACACCTGTGCTGAATCCGTCTTCTCCTTCCCACCCAGGGACTGGAGGGAGCCCGGCACAGCCTTGCCTTGCCCGCCTCCTTCAGTGAGCCACTGAGTCACTCTCCCAGGACTGTGGCCCGAGTGACATTCCAGTCAGCTGTGGAGCACCTGCCAGGAGTCCCCAGGGCAAAACAGCAGGAGCCTGGCTCAAGAGGAGTCCAGCCTGGCCTCCCGAGACCAGAGGGGAGCGCCAGCAGCACCAGCCTCTCCCCTCCAGGCCGCCTACCAAGGGGATCTTACGGCACAGGGAGGGGAGGAGGGGAGGGGGGTAGCCGGCTCACCCACAGGTCAGAGGAGCCAACACAGAGAGGGGGAGAAGACTGTGGGGAGAGGAGGCACCCCAGGGCAGGGGCCCTCCAGGCCTCCCCCATGAACAAGGGACACTAGCCGGCAGGAGGTGGGAGCAAGCCCCAGAGTGGACCCTGGTCAGTGGGAGGGAGGCCAGGCAGAGCGTTCTCCTGAGACAAACCCAGTGGGCTACCAAGGCCCCCGGCCTCCCTTGGGGCTCCAAGACCCGCAGCCCTTTCAAGCACGGAAGCCACACACGAGAGACACCCCCCCTTCCAGGAGAGGGGCTGACGCTTCTCTGCTGGGCTCCGCCTCCCCCCACCCGCCAGGTACGTGACCTCCAGGCGGAGAGGGACGCCTGCTATGCCTAGGTTCCCTCCCCCCGGGGCCAGGCCCCACGGCCGGCATCACCCACTGTGGGGAGCTCCACGGAGCTCCCCCTCAGTACAGCCAAGAGCTCTGGGACTCACTGCCCCGATGGTCCCCTGGGGGCAGGTGGCCCCATTGTGCCCGCTCACCTGCCTGCCTAGCGGGCACGAGGAGCCCGAGGCACAGGAGACAGCAGAGGCCCAGCCCAGCGGTGAAAGAGATGGAGAGCCTGCCTAGCTTCCCCTCGCTAGACGGCAAGGGCCCCCCTCACGGCCAGCCAGGGTGCACGCGAAGGCTCCCCTTCCGCCACCAGGCCCGGCTGTGCCCCTCCTCCTGCTCACCGTGATCCAGGGCCCTCACACACGACTCCCCCCCCCCTCCACAGAGACACAGAGAGAAGGCGGGTGGGCGGATGGGTCACCCGGCAAGCTAAAAATACCTTGGGCAACAAACTCATAAACAGGCCGGGACAGGGTAAACATGACAGGCAGTGGGCGGAGCACCAGTCGGGCGAATCTCAAGGAAGCCACTCACGGAAGCAGCAGCGGCTGCATCACCCCTGAGCCCTACTGCCTTGCAGTGATTCAGGGGAGAAACACTCCTCCTCGCTGGCCAGAGGACACTCACTTCCGGTGCCCTCCCCAAATACAAGTACCAGTTTGACAGCGGGTGGGGAGAACCCAGCTGTCCCGGAAAGGAGTGAGGTCTCCTGGCTCCTCCAGGACGTCAGCTTCTGGGAGCGACTCAGACCCTGGGAAGGCCTGAACCCAGGGACTCCCCCTCAAAGGCTACCTTCCTTCCTCCCACCCCTGCCCCACTCCCAAAACCCTCAGAATCCGACACCTACAATTGCTCTCTCAGGTCCCCAGTCTCCCTCCTGGACCAAGCAGGACGTAAGGATGTCCCACAGCCCTGGAAAGCGCGCCCACCAACCTGCACGTCCCCCCCCCCGGACGGTGGCACAAGCAAGCAAGGAAGCTGGGACATGCCTCCCATGCAGCTGGGAGAGAAGTGACCCAGTGAGAACCACACCAGACGTCCCGGGAAAGCAAACAGCCACGTGCAAACCAGCACTAGAATCAGCAGCACGGTCTTCCAAAGGGAGGAGAACCTTGAGACGCCACCTAGCCCCACCCCATTCCAAACAGGAAAGCCTCACAACACTGTTCCAAACACCACCATGGCAGCACAGGCTCTACAGGGAGACACCCGGGAAGGGAGGAAACACCCCCCCCCCTAATTACCTCCAAGTCCAGGAGCACCTTCGGGGCCAACGAGATTTCTGGAGAGTCAACGCTCCCCTCATCGGATACAAGTCGGAAAGCTCATACCGCCCCCCCAAAAATCTAAGGTGCCCCTGGAATCGAATCTCACTGTTCTCCTGCAGACTAACCTGGTGACCCCTCTGAAGCTGCCCCCGGGGGAACCGGCTCTGTGGTCAGACCGCTCCCAACCACTGGAATTTCCCTCTAAGGCTCAACTGAACCCCCCTCCCCAGTAACGTAAACACACTCAATCTAAGGGTGACTGTGAGCGGCTGGGAGGCAGAGGCTCCCAAGGGAAGCAGCCAGCCCCGGGGCAGGTGGGAGGCAGAAGGCAGGAGGGTAAGGCTGCTGCTGCTCCGGCACACTGAGACCAGGCGCCACAGAAACGGCCGTGAGACAGCCAGGCAGCAAATGGCCATGCTTGGCACTGGCAGTGGACTTGGCAGGGCTCCCTGGCTACTGGCATGGCTCAGCGAGAGAAATGCATCTGGGGTGACAGACGGGCAAAACCACAGCCCCCACGCAGTCCCAGGCACCTAGCAGGAGACGGGGACATGGAGCTCTGACGTGCAGAGCCTCTTCCCGGGTGAAGCGCGGCCCCCGCACCAGACACTACCTGCCAAGTCAAGGCACAGCTGGCAGGAGGAGGAATCCACTCAGACCAGTCTCCTGTGTTGGGAAGGCCTCTTAGCTCGCTCCTGATGCCGCCTACGTCGTCCTCGTCGTCATCCCAGGAGAACGGCTCTCAGCCTACAGACCTTGCCTAAAGTTTGCCACGGAGCTGTTTCCTCGAGGTGTCCAAGGGGCCGGCACAGGCTCGTTGCCAACTGTTTTGCAATACGACTGCAGCAAGTCCCATATAAAAATAGCCTCAGGCTCAGGAGCCGCACAACGTTCTCTCCTCAAGGGATCTTCCTGCTTTTGGGCTCTGGGCAGAGCAGGCTGCGTGGGCACTCCCCTCCTGTTTAATCTCCACAGGGTCGCGCAGCTCACCCGCACAGGCGCACCCCTGCAGGTCAAGCCAAGGGGATAAGGTGCGCGGGGTGCTGAGAGGGTTGTGAGAGAGGACGGCCGGCTACCGTGTGGCACCGCGACTGCTGCGAGAGCGGCTGAGCTCCGCCCGGCCCCATCTGCCGCAACAGGCTGGGCGGGTGGCACGGCAGGCACTTGAGTGAAGGAGGGCCGCTTCTGAGCACGGCAGGGCAACACAGCCGGGGGTGTGTGTGGGTGTGTGCCGGCGGGGCAGCTCGAAGCAGCGCTCTCAAGGAGATGCCCCAATCAGGACCTGCCGAGGGAGCTGGGGGGCAGCGCGGCGGTCCGTGCAAGCCGAAATCGTGCGAGGGCGGAGGAGGGCGTGCGAGTGCCGTGCGAGGCGGCGGCGGCTGCAGCTGGGCACATCTGTCGGGAGGAAGGAAGGCGCGGCGAGGCCCGGAGGGGCCCCAACGGGGGGCAGCGCCCGCCGGGACTCGGCAGGAGACGAGGGGGGCGGGAAGCGTCGCCCGGCTCTCCCGCGCAAGCCCCGAGCAACCCGGAGGCGGCGGCGGCGGCGGCCCCACGGCAGCGTCCTCCAGGCCCAGCGGCGGGAGGCTCGGCTCAGCTCAGCGGCGCGGCCCGCCCGGCCCGGGGTCGGCGGGCGGCCCCGGGGGGGCC